ACCTGGATGGACTCCAGCGTCTGGTTGATTGATGACACGCGAGGATCTCGATCAGCGTGGAAACCCGCGTGTGGATCCTCTTGGTTGCTCAGCCGACCGGAGGAAAGTTCCGACGCGTGAAATGCGCGCGCTTCTTCACGTAGAAACGATTTATCTTGCTCTCTATCCGGCTCAACGCCCCGTTATCAATAATAAATTGTTTTCTTAACTTCATCGCGTGCCGATCGCGAAGCGCGAATCGTGATTGCCCGGTGTCCGATCTATCACCGATCCCTCTCTATCGTTCATTGATCAATTCGCGATGCACCGTGTTGCCGAGTCGCCTCGCGCGTAAGGGAACCGACATGAACCCCCGGCATGATTAATGACTACTCTCCACGTACCAATAGACCGCATAATATGTTCCGCGTAATCTCGAATTTCTTCCTCCATGAGACAAGAAATCTCCATGAATTCCCGCGGGAATACTTCCAACAGGGGCGTTATGAAAGTGTTACGACCTTTGCGTGCAGTTGCGGGAAAAGCTGCGACTAAACTCGAACTTTCGATGGCTGATCTTTCGGGTGTGACGCGGTTTAGAGTCGTTTTAGAAATATATTTTCCTAACAGATACTCTTCGTAGAACTTTGCGAGCCTCTCCACTGCGAGTATTTGCAAACGAGTGTAATAACGTCTAATCGCGGGAATATTTCTATCTTTCGTTTTCATCTTCACGCTTCAGACTTATCGGCAGTTTTGCCACGTATCGCGTTCACCAGTGCAGCTATCCCCCTTTTTTTCGAATATCTAGATCAATAATTCCATTCCGCCGTGCGCAAAGAATCTTTCTTTCGCTTCCCTGTTCGCAGATTTATCAGGGAAGGAAAATAATCCGTTGTGTTCCCGCGCTTTCACATACACCACGCCACGATAATTACTCGCCGCTAAGCTTCGCAGGTACAAAAGAAAGCAAACGAAGGAAAATGTGATTTTAAGAGCGCAAACTTTTCTCCCGGCCCGTCAGCACTTCTTTCTCTCTCCCCGCATTTTTTTCTCCTTTTTCCCCTTTTTTTCGCCACGGCATCGTTCACCTTATCCGTTCGTTCCGTTCGTTCGTTCGTTCTATCCTCATCTTTCGTTTCCGAGGAAACACGACCAAGCGGCATAAACCAACCAAGGTGCTGAAAGTACGTTGAAGCGAACCTTCCCTTTTATTTATGGCGTTCTCAGAATTTCCCCGGGACTTTAACGGCGCCGTCACCTGTCTAATTTATGAAAAATTCCCAGGCTCGAATTCACCAAGCGTGAACGCGCGGATCTCATTCGTCAGCGCGGCGGTGCGCCGCTGCGGAAACCTGGATCGGACAGTTGGCATTTCTCTTGGCGAGGATTGTTTTGAGAAGTCAATCGTTCTCGCCTCCTTCGACGACCTCGACACCAGACGCTGGCGGGTCCCCGCCGGGAATCGTCTCTTCGTCGATCGCTTTGAAGTGCCACTGCCTGCTGAACGAGCTTTCGAAACGAACGCGGTGCCAAACGCGCGACTACTCGTCTCAACGCCTTTTAAAACACGCGCGACAAGAGTCATTTTTGCGCGTATTTCGTCGGAAGAACTTGTTTGGAATCCCAGCTGCAAATTCTACACCGTCACCTTCTTTTACAATAATTTCTAACAGATGTGTAAGGTCACGTGTAATTTATGAATGGAATATATTTATTTACAATGTATCCAATCAATGAACACCGGAATCCGATGAAGTACATTTGAGTATTTTCAATGCTAGAGGATATTTTATCGTCTGAAATTACATATTTCTGTTTGTAATTTATAAGCCTAGAATTTCAAGCGCGCGATGTTGAAATTATTTTTTTGGAAAGCCGATTTTTTTCCTTTAGCCGATTGATTTTTCATTCAAATCGGAACTACAAATTTTTGGTCAAACGAAATTGTTACCAGAATTACCGGAGAGATTATCGGATGGATTGGAATGACAGTATCGGACAGTTTCATACATAGTATGAAATTCTGCTGGACAGAAACAAAAAGAACGATCTCAGAACACGTGTTACAGTTGTAACTTTATGGATTTGCGAAAGTCACACTCCGTGAATAGAAACCGATTAAATCAAGCCTGCCATAATATTTAAACCCACATCTGTAACATCTTTTTATACTTGAGAACTTTTTTATATTAATCCTCGACTATGATTAGATTATTTAAAAGCGCGTGTTATAGGTAACAAAATAATAATTCCTTAATTCATAGATTAACACATAGCAACATATAATACTCGCAATCAATTAATCATCCTGTCGAAAATTTCATAAGTTAAAAACTTAATAATGCTAAGTTAAAAATTTTTTAAACTGACTATCGACTTTTAAACTGTCGATGCTTGTAAAATATCGACGACAATGTAGCCACGAAGGCAATAACAGCATCAGCAGCTTCTCGCGTTTTCACAAATGGCAAGCAATCTGGTGACATTTCTCTTTCTTTCTTTCTTTTTTTCAGTGAGGATTCAGCTTCGAAACCCTCAGCCGAAGATTGTTTGGGAAATAAAATGTTTGCAGCGCCAACTCGCTTCGATTTAACGCCAAAATAGATGGGACACATTTTTTCGTAGCCCCGCGAGAGCTGCAACTTCAGCATCGGCAGCGTGCTCGCGGGTAACGATGATTTACGTGTCTCGTTTGTTTTTTGTAATTGACACACCGAGCCAGATGGCGAGCACGAACAGCAGTTCTACAAACGAGGAGATTTCCGGAGTAATCGACGGGTATACGCAACGATCGGGAGCACGATTCGCTAAAAGAGAGAGAGAGAGAAAGACTGGAGAAAAAAAGAAATGGAAGAAAAAAAAAACTGGACGAAAAACACGAGGAAAAAATAACAAGGAACGAGGGTGAAAAAAAAAAAAAAAACAAAAAGAGGTCGAACCAGATTTCGCGACTACCCGCTCCACGTTATCAGAGTTTGACGAATTTTCGATGCGAACGCGATCGTTCGTACTGTTTCGCCGGATGATTCCGCCGCGCGGGCAAAGTTGCGGCGCGTAATCTGCTTAGCGTGCTTTACGCGCCGCGATAAATAGTAAACGGAAGCTGGGGTAAACATGTGACGGAATTTACGGTTATTGCGCCGTTGCGTATCAGCGCGCCGAGTCAACATATAAAATTAGCGCGATTTACATCCCGAACTTCACGCCGTTTCCATTAACGATTCCGCGACGTTGTTTAATTGATACCGATCCCTATCCGTTTACTTCGTAATTTCACTGAAACATTAATGCCTCTAATGGAATGCGGCCGATTTGTTGATTACGTCCGATTTTAATCATTCATCCGTTAATCAATATAATCAACATAATCGACGTACGTAATCAACGTATATTGGCCCGCGAAAGTAACGCGACTGCCATGGGTATATACTGTAGGTATACTGTAAAAATTTGATATCAATCTGAAAATACACGCAGAAATTTCAACGACAATTCGTTTCCAACAATGATGGATGATAAATCGACAATTAATACTTCCGTTTCTCCTTGGATTTTCCGTCGAAAACGTGTTTAAATATGGGTAGAAATGTCGAAAAGCCCTTTGTAAATTGCCGATGACGTCAAGAGAAGAAATTTTTGACGTAAACGAGCTTTCCCATCGAGAATCGAGAGCCTTGAAATATCTGTATCTCGTTTTACAACGTTTTTGGCATCAGCGAACGGTTTTCCCTCCGGTGCGAAATATCCCCATGTTAAATCAATATTTATCCGTAGATAGTACATATTTAATCTGTTATAACACGCATGTCGTGTGCAGATTGCTTCGTTAATGTATTGGAAAGCTGAATATTTAATTTTCCATCGAATCGGCCGTTTTTTGTCCAATCCAATTTCTCCCGGAAAGTGTGACTCGTCGAGAAACGCTATCCGTTTTCGTTGACAACGAACTTTTAACTCGATATGTATATGAAATAACGGCATTGTTTAATTTTAATAAAAAAAAAAAAAGATATCAGTAAATACGATATCTTTGATATCTTTGATATCAGTATATAATACGAGGATACTATGGATAAATGATTTAGAGATTAACGTGTATAAATGCGAGGAAGTTTTACTTAAAATGAATAAACTAGGTCGCACTTTAGTAAAAGAGACCGTATTTCGTGAGTTTACTGCCTCACCTGGTACAAGATATAAACCGTACATATACGCCCACGCTCACACCTACAGCGAAAGACTTCGACCTGATGTTCTCATGATAAAGAAGAAGGAAAATCTCGCGAAAATAGAGAAACGTTAAAGGAGACACTCCGACTTGAGTAAATTCAGTTCGAACGCCCCCATGGAAAACTGCGAACGAGGACTCATTATTTGAAATTGAAAAATGTACAGCCATTGTGGACGACAGTATTTTAAATCGCAGTGGAGAAAGTATTGGGTAAATTTGAGACAAAAATCATGATCCAAAGAGTTATAAAATACTGAAATGTCTCTTGAAACGTGCTGTGTATGTAACAAAAAAAAATAATTTCGATTCGAATTTAAGATTTTAATTTAAGAGTAATTACGACAAACGATTTATTCGTTCTTTTACGTATTCTTATTTCAGCAAATACGTGCGTCAAAACGATAATAAATTAGGAAAGCTAAAACAAACTTCAAATGCGACGGATGCACTTTACGAGCTCAGCTTGTAGTTCAATGTAAAGGGCAAGTAGTATACGTATACCATAGTAGCCTTTCTGTAACTAAAGTGGTAATTTCATTACGAGAGCAGTAAATATCCTACATAAATCTTGGCATATTTGCTAATCTGACGTGTTTTATATTAAATATAAAATAAATTGTAATTAAAAACTAAGAAAATAAGACGAAAAAAAGTATTGCTTAGCTGTATGTACCATAAACGCGCTTTTTATTTACCATAAAATATTGAAAGATGCTTTCAATTTTCTCTCTGTCGAAAAATGATTGTATTGTTTCATGTATATTCTGTATATTTCCATTTTCTAGAACTCTTCGTAGAAAATGAAAGAAGTGTGAACTGAACCAAAAATTTTCCAGGCAACTGAAGCACGCGGCACACAACATTTGAAGTAATCGAGTTTGGATGCACGGTTTTTCTATAAATAAAATACAGTTTATGCGCGTCGCGGCGCAAGGATTTTGTTTCTTTACTGCAATACACAGTTTTGGCTCGCCAGATAAATAAAATTACACGAGCAGATGGCTCTTCGTATATTTTTGGATGCTTCTTATGGAGGGTGCTCAAATATCGACGCACATGGCCTCCCTACTTAGATATAGGAAAAAAATGTCGGTTCCTGTATGAAGCTTGATAGCTCACTATCATTCGAGAAGTCAGCAGGTACCCAGGTAAGGTGATTTTAATATTAAATAAAAAAAATTCTGGTTAAAGACTATAATAAATCACTGTTCCGAATCTTCATCGTATAGTTTATCTTTTACATTTATAATTTTTGCTCCCTCTTTCATACGATCCTTTGTTTGCAAATGGTTTGGTTATTTACAAACTTTTTATCAATGCATCCTATGTATAGTACATAACTGAAACTACATCAAACTGTAATTAATCATGACTAAAGAAGAACGTGAGAGAATTCAGAGACGATCTTTTGTAAAACACTTAATAATAAATGTTTCGTAAATTTCATAGATGGCTGCTAGGATATCAAACCATCTTAATGAATGTCACGCAGGTTAGTAAAATGATAACCCTCTAAAATGTTTTGCATGGTATTCTGTCAGGGTAATATGAATATAAGTATACCTAATCTTTGCTTCTAATTTCGTTTCGCTTAGACCTTTATATTTAGTTGTACCCCGTTATAAACCATATATTTATCTACTAACATATCGTCTCAACAGAAATTTATAAAACCAGATTTATAGTGCTTGCTTGCTAGTTCTATCAGACCATTAACTTCCCCCTAATGTAATAACATTAAAATATTTTTGAAACATTATACGTAGAATAGTATTATATCATTGTACAATTTGTGATTAATGTCACAGTATATGCTTCATGTTAATTTAACTAAATATAATCGAAAATAATTAATAAATATCTGTAAGATATTGAAACTTTAGAATTTTAGTTAGAAAGGAAAGGACACTTCGTGCTTCCTTTCGATTTTAATTTTAATTTTTGTTTCTTTTTTTATTAGAAATTTAGAAATGGAACGTACGATACCAAGGACCGAAGATACATACGAGGACATTGGTCTTTCACCCTTTTGAAACCATGACCCAAGACAAAGTCTACCCACCCACTTCCGTTTATTGCGCAGACGCAACCGACTGCTCGACATGATGTGATCCGCATGTATATTAGACTCGAAATCTCGTTTCCGTCCGTCACATACGGGAGAAAAGCGTTAAACTATCAAAATGCAATTTGCGGTAAACAGGGTTCAGGCATGGAGAAATGAATACTGCACCGTAGATCACGTTTTCCAATACTCATTTGCTTCGTGTTTTCCACTTATAAGGAAATTACTTCAGTTCCGGTGCTGCTCACGTTTTAACGAAAAACAGGGTAACGTATACTACGCTACGATCGAGGTATTCTTGACTCGATTATCAATTATCTGTTTTTCAAAAATTGCTACGGAAAGGAAATTCAATAAAAATAATTCAATTAAATTCAATGACTTTCCATTTAATCTAAATTACTGATGCTTGACATTTTCTTCGGAGAATCAGATATAGAAGAAAGACTAATTAAATGAAAATATACTTCTAGATGAACGAAAGGATTGCCACATAAATGTTTCGAATCCAATTTCATTGACACGGCCAATTTGAAAATCAATAGGGGAGCTCAAGCATTTATCGATTTTCGGAGGATATACCGCAACTATGAAGATTGACACTGTGGTCGAAAATTTTATGAGTTCCTCCATCCTGCCAACGTGTTTCAAGCAATCGTATCTGTGCAAATACCAAGTCCCGTGGTGGCGTTAAGCTTTACGATGTTAAACCTCGTAAGGAGTTACGATCATGTATATACTACGTAGAGTTCAGAAGCTTGTAGAAATCCCATGATACAAAACAGCATTGTAGGAAAACACTATATTTCGTTTTATTTCTTTGGTCAGCGATTCTTGCTTTACATTCTCTAATCTCTGAATTTTACGTTTCGCAATACAATTTATGGAGTTCTTCAATTTATTATACAAAGAAACGAATAATGAAGAAATACAATATATATAAAGAACAAAAGTCATTTTAATTTCACGATATTTTTCCGATCAATAAATAGAATAGTTTTTGCTAAATTGCAGATATTTATGCAAATTCAAACTTTTATGAAGATAACTAAATGATAAAACTTGAGCAGAGATATCTTTCTTACTAAATATCACGTATTTCTGTATCTTTCAATTTCCAATGAATTAGTTATTATTTTCTACATCTCTAATCTGATTTTTATATCTACAGTGTAACTAAGAATTAGTTTTACAGAGTTGAATAAAGGAAGAATGAACTGAATTTGAAACTAATGAAATGACCGAAAATGAGAGAAACGTGATGTGACACAAAAACATCAAGTATATTGGAATATTTGAAGATAATTCTGTTACATTTCTGATTATTGCTGACATTTTAACTGACAAATATACCAAAAATGTGATTATGAAGCGCTGAAACTGACGGTGTCCAAAGATTTGAGCGAACTTTCTATTTCCTGACAGCGTTATTACATTTTACCGGCTCATGAAATTCGTTCCCGGAAATTCTATTTCGAGAGGATCGTGTTAATAGCAGCTATTCGAAAAAAGAACATTTTTGTCCTACTTAAATCACGAAATTATCTAGTTTACGTTGCTCTATTAATATCGATGTTTTGAAATAGCTTTGTTCCTGGGAACGTCGCTGTTCTTGAAGTTCTAAATATTTGACATTGGGAGATTTATTGATTGAAAGACGAATTAGAAATTGTTTCAAAGTACGAGTAACATAGAACCATAAATCCAGCAAATTTCTTTCTCGATATTTTACTTTGAATTTCACGATCAAAAATTCTTTGCAAGAAATAGCGTCTGTCGAAGACCGTATTATGTAAATTATAATTCCGGGGTGACAGATGGTGCATCGGCGGTCATAGATCACTATACATCCAAGGATTTATGTAACCATCTATATCCTTGTAGCATTATGAAACTTTACATGGTCACTAAAATAACATTAACAATTTTTATTGATGAGACAATAATAAATAAAAATGTGCAATAAAATATTGTATCTTTCATTACATGTGGCTATATTTTCTAAGTAAATTGCCTGGAAAGTAAAGGCATCATTTGTTAGGAGATATTGTCAAATCTGATAGAAGATTCATACGTTTTTCAGAGTATCATAATATCTTTTATCTATTTCAGAAATAAAAGATAAGTAAAAATTTTTATTACAGTTCTTTCTACATTTTATGCCTCAACAATTTGTCTTGTTTTTAAATGAATGTTTATATATGAATAGTTCAACATAAAAAGTGAAAATACAATCTACAAACGTTTGCTATTCTAACCTCACTTAACATACCAAATTTACATTGCAATACATACATACGTAATTGTATATTAAACATAATTGAACTGAATTAAATGTAGAATTAATGTTACTTACGTGCAAATATACCAAATGTAGTGACATTTTTCGTCTTATTTCGCTTGTTAATTACGTTCTTAATTCTTCATTTTCATGCACACACACACACGCGCGCGCGTATAAAACGCGTAACTCTTTCCGACTGCAAATAATTACAAACAAGTTACAAACAAGCGAAAGGGTTAAGTGTTAAGGCAAATGCAGTTACTCTTACCCAATCGTCAGCCAGCAGTCAAGATTTACGAGGTCATGATCATCTTTGTCGAAGAACACAGCAATTCCGAGGCGAACGCGGATCGTCGAAACGGCAGCCGAGCGCTGATTGGCTGGCGGAGCGCGCGCGGATGCGTAGACTCTGACGTCATGCTTCGCCCAGTTTGAAATCGTCCCAGCAGTCAGTCGCGCGCCGAACGTCGAACCGAATGCACGCGGTGTTCTTCGTTTTTCGTTTGCAGTCCTTCCGACTCCGTATCGAAATATCGACGATTCGCACGTCGATCGCGGATACGTTAGCGCGATGCCGTCGTCGACGATTCTTCAGTGAGAACCGATGGAGAGGTGACGTTCTATTCTATCAACCGGTGTCACAGTGCACAAGTGTGATCGCGGCAGTTCGACCTTCGTTGTCAGATATATTTTTCGCCACGATTCGACCGTCGTCGATGATCGTGTGCAACGAAAAGAAAGACGTTTCTCCATCGTACGAATCCACTTCGTTTTTACGCACAACTGACAGCATGCGTTTGAGTGGCGATGGATAGCATTTTCTCGATGGACGTGTGTCAGTGAAGCGAAGTTGGCTCTCGAGACCACGTGACCAGTGGTAGGAGGTTATGTGAACGGATCCTTTGTAGAGACTGCAGCACTCCGATCTATCGAACATCGATACTCGCGCGTTGCGTATTAATCGACATCTCGAATAGTCAGTGAGAGTAACGGCCGTTATAAACGACGGTTCGTTGTCGCGTCGCGATTGAAATTACGTATATTAACCGATATTACCCGTGCCATACGATCTACGTGCCGAGAATTTCGTCGACTTTGCTTAATATGCGTGCTACAGTGAGACGGACCGGCTCGATGCTCAAGGTTGTCGGCTTAAATTCGTGGAATTCGCGATCAACATTCGGGGCGTGACTTACACTTCGTGTTTACGCGTTTATGCTTTTCTCCCTTCGAAAGTGTACAAAATCAGCTGCGTTTGATTCGTCTTTGTCGTCGGTGAGAAAACGACGTGTGATGTTTTGGGTGTTGTGTCGCGTCGACTGAGAGCCGTGTGACGCGGTGTGCACTGAATGTCAAAACGATAATTAGTGCTGCCTTGAGGCCAGGTGACTCGTGTTATCATGCTGACGATTGTTTTGCTGGGTCAGCTGGTCGTACCGGCGGATTACTTCGGTGAGTTGATTTCTCTTGGTTTTTGTTACCTTTGACAAAAAGTTGTCCGTAAAATACAGTAACACGAAACCAGCTAAAGTTTTTTGAGACACGTACGAAGTTACACACGTGAATGTAATATACGTGAGAAACTCAAATACTTTGGTCACCCGTTTGGAAATAATAAAATATTTCGTTTAGTTATACGAAGAAGTAAAGTATGAAGCGAATAGATGTAGTCAAAATTAGTACTACAAATTTTCCAATAACGATAAATAATATTTTGTTTTATATTTATTTTGTCTAGTATTCTCTAATATTTCCAGGTTTATGATTTACTAATTGTGCAATTCGTAGAGATTGGTAGAGATTCGTGGCTTTGAAAGATGAGTTCTGCTGATCAGTGGTTTAATTGTTAACGATATAATAGGAGCTTTTGGCTTTCATTCGTCGAAGGTAGCTAACATCCAATTTACGGCGTTTAAGTTTGGAATGATATTGTTGACGTATATTGAGTTTAAACGCTAGAGATTTGTCTTACGTTAGTAAAACGAGATATTGCTTTCGTTAAACGTCTGTTATACCATGTAATTCAACATTATTCGTATCTAAAAATTTTTTTAGTATTATTTATTACTTTGAAAATCTTCCAAAAGTCTTATTTCATTTCATTATTGTATATTATATTTTTATATTTTATTATTGTGCTATTACATCAGTATGTCGCAATTTTCTTCATCTTATTTTATAAGAATGCTTTTCCCTTGTAAGTAAAGAAAAATCTAGCTACTAGGTTTCTTCAGAAGAAATATCTTGCTTCACACATTTCTAATTTTAGTTTTCAAACTTAAACTTTCTTGTTCACATGATGGAACGGTATCTCAACATTTCGATTCTCGTTTCTTGATTTAGTAATCTGGTCCAACTACCTGCGTTCAATCCTACGCATTTTTTATGGATGTTCGTAGGAATATCGTGAGTGACATCGTAGGCAGGGGATTTCTTTTTCATGAGATTCTGTAAACACATGGAAAGCAAGTGCTGCATTGACGAGAAAAGTATTGGAAATTAAAAGTCATCAAACAAATTTTCTTATTTTTCTTATTTTTCAAGTAATTTTCACGTAGCGAAACGATGTTTGAAGAATATCGGCAAATAGATTGCAAATACACGTAATTTCCATAAATAATCATTCTTAGTTGTGTTTTCTGTTTAGAATGATACAAACTGGTGTAATCGTAAATTTTTCCTTTGTCGAGACAAATGTTTATGTAAATCATTTATTTTCAGCACTGTGACTGAATACGTACATTTATCAAGTAGAAATATGTGATGAGATAAACACTGAAATTAATCAAGTAATTCCACATTGCGTCACGGCAAATTACAAAATTAATATTTATACGTTATTGCCGTAAATCGTATTACTATGATATTAAATTAATTTTGAAATTTCTGAATTTCAATTAGTAAAATACAGAAGTGAATTGCTATTATCGAATAAATAGATATTTTCTGAGATAGTGGATAAAGTCTATATTACGAGTAATAATGTAGACTCTTTGTAATGTTAAGATTCATTTTATCATTTATTTATTCATTTCGACATAAACAGAGGATTGTCAATTAAAAATTCTTTAATTAAATACGAAATTTCTGCAAATTTTTTTTTTTTTGGAGTCAATCGAGCCTATGTCGTGTTCAAAATTTTTAAATATTTCTTTCATCATTATTTTATCCATCTCCTTTTCGATTATTTCTAACTTGTAATAATCATTAGGAAAAAGCCAGTACAAAAATTCAGTACTGTGTTTTTCCCTAGTAAAAGTTCGCGTTTAATTTTTGCGTCTCCGTCGGGTAGAGATCTAAGCGCACAGTTTGCAATAATTAGTATAATTGCTTAATGAAGTTAAAATTATAATGCTGGCACTATGTACGTCAGTGATACTAGTGTTTTCTTGCATATTAAATTTGCTGCGTTAGACAAACTGTGTTTGCCACCTTAACGTAATGACACTCCAAATACAGAATCAGCATTTGAATATAAATTAGTTTACATTTTGTGCTTTGCATTATTTCGTGCAAATTTTGCGCTGCAATTTCCTCTGACGGATTTTCGAAAATTTTCAGTCAGTAACGAGAATGCAGAGTAGCGAGGGTGTCACTAGAATTTCTCGAAATAGCGGAGATTCATTCCGAATCGAGCCCGAAGGCATTCGTAGAAACAACGTGTTTTATGATAGTTCTGCTAACTTAAAAGCGATCCTATTTCGCGGAGATTGTAGTTTATTACACAATGTCCCTTACATTTATTTCATTGTATCCCGACGTGACAGTTTGCAAGTTTCTTAAATAAGCGTTAAATACGCGCAAGAGCGATGTAATATTGTACTGTGACATTTGCGAAGCAACTTGCTAGCTGGATCAATTTTATATTTCTCCGTTTCTCTTCCATCGGCTTCATTTATGCTTACAATTTCATTTTAGTTCTACTTTTATCTTACACTTTTCATTGTGAAACATTCGTTCGTGAACAGATCTTTTCATTTTCTCTCTGTGCAAAATTTCAATAAGAAAATTTGTTCCTATAGTTGTACAATTCCTATCTCTCACTTGTGTTGTAACTAACAAAATTCTTAGACACGTTCTCGCTCAAAAATTTATAATAACTGCAACTAATTATATATAAAATTATATGAATATCATAATTATAATATTTTTACCTCTCACTGAAGAAGAATGTACCTAGAACAGTGCTCCAAAATTTTGAGTGGGAGTACAAATGATGCTTAATTTCCCATTTCATATTCAAACAAACGAAATAAAGTATCGTTATGTTCCACTTCTTAGTTGTTGCTTGTCAAACGCTATACTTTGACAATGTTTGCTTAATACAACGCTGACGCATAGTAGTTGAGTAAACGTTATGTACACGTGTTCGTAGCTAGATCACAGTCGAATCACGTTACATAGTAATGCAAAATGAAAGGCGAAGAATTCTCGCTCGTAGCCGTAGTTAGATGAGATTTATCTGACTATCCGTACTGTTTATAGCTCTCGAAAGGTAGATGGAAGTGGGAGTTAGCGTATCAACCGCTTATAATTAAAGTTTTTTCTGATTTCTCCGGGTCAGACGGTTAAACGGTAACTATACCAGATCAATGAATAATGGATAACGATCCGCGAAACGGGAGTCCACGAGGATTCCTAGAAGTGATTATGCAAAGTACCTCGTACTGTAGGAATTGCTATTTATTAAATAGTATTAAATCATGAATATTGCACGACTTGTGAATATCATATACGAGTTAATACAGCTTTCTGATATTGTAAATGAAACATCCATTTTTCGCTATGAAACGATTGCGTGTCTCGATTGTTACGAGAGTAATTACGAATTTTCCTACGTCGAATAAATCGATCGGTTATTCACATAAAAGAAGGAAAAAAAAAAAAAAACAAATACATACTCGATTCGCTCTGTATTCGATCTTTGTTCAGTTTTGGAGGGAAAATAATTCGTTTGAAGTATCGTATGCTCTGTCCACCATTGTGGAAGATGAACAGCTCCATTGACGAGAAACAGAAGCAGCTGGAACTCGAAGTTCGCGTCCGATTCTAGCGAACCGGCATCGACCCGTGCTACTTGCGAGCAATACGGATACCATCGGGGCTGGACGGGTGGAAGCTCGATGCGCGATCCAACAGAGTCGAACGAAAAACTCGGGCAAACTCGTCGAGAAGACGCCAGCAGCAGCGAATGGGAACGGAATAAGAATAATGAAAATAAGAGGGAGAACCCTTCGTAGAAAAGTGGTTGGCCACTCGGTTCGCAAAGAGAGAAAGAGAGAGGGTGGCGCGAGTAGGTCAGAGAAGGAAAGAAACGCGTAATTACCCTCGTAAATCCATCGGACATTTCGCGAATGAGAGAAACTATGAAACCGAAACGAACAAACGAAGAATCTCGCGAGGAGGCTTTTCGCGCCCTTCGGACAGTGCCTCGTCGATGGCCAGTTCGTTGAATCGTGCTCGTAAATTCTTATAATCGGCGTGATTGCAGTCACGGGAATCGCGATTGGCTAGCATGGCCGGGCTATTTGGTAGTTTGAAAAATTACCGCCGTCTCCATAAATCGTGACGCTGGTGGACGACTCTGGAGTCTCGCGCGGCTGCAACGCGGTAGAAATGGGGTTGAAATGCAAAAAAGGAGGACAGAAAAATAAAAATGAGAGAATAAACGGGGAGGAAAGTTGAAACAGCAGAGTAGAAACGAACTCGATGCACAGGAGCGAGATGTATTTTCTTTCACTGTCGCGGAGTTAGCTTCTGTTAGGTTGTTAGTCTGCAATTGACTAGAGAATGCTGACCATCTCGTTGAGATTGATCGCGGCTTCGATATTTTACAATAGATAAATTTTTGCGATAACATGGAACAGTTTCCACTTACGAAATTTTTAAAAATTACGAGTTAGTTTTTTTTTTTTTAATCAGTGAAATGTTCCCGCTGTTGGGACGAAAACACATATCTTTTTCTGATCATTATACGTCCCGCAAGTTATTTCCCTGGCACTTTCGCTTCGTAATTCTCGCGGCCATTCCGTGGGAAAATTTAATCGCGACCGAATTTCGCAGCGCGTCATAAAATTATTTCTCGCAATCGCATTACGTACGTGTCCGTTCTGTCGCCGTGTTTTCCCTGCGTGCTGTTTGTTTAATTATTAAAAATGAGGTCATGCATCGCGGAAATACGCGCTTCTATGCACGCTTTGTGACGAAACAATACCTATGCGTCCACAATTTGCCCACATCGGAGGGAAACCGCGCAATTTCCAGGTTGCGATTTTTCGCAATGATTTTTTTTCGAAATGATTTTTTCCTCTCGCGAGCCGATACAGTGTCTTACATAGGACAAATGTAGTTTTCCGTATCGCTCTGTTAAAGATCGAACGAAATTCCTGATCTCTGCCGTTGTTTTTCTTTCAATGTTTTTGCAACAGTCTGACTGAAAATATCGGGTCGTA